TGATGAGGTGTCGGTTATTCGAGAGTATCCAGATGTGTTTCCGGAGGATTTACTCGGAGTGCCTCCGGAGAGGCAGGTGGAGCTCAAAATCGGTATGGTTCGTGGTGCGGCTCCAATAACCAAAGCACTATATCGATTAGCTCCACCAGAGATGAAAGAGTTGTCTACACAGCTGAAGGAGCTATTAGACAAGGGATTTATCTTGCCGAGTAGTGCTCCTTGGGGTGCACTGGTCCTTTTTGTGAATAAGAAGGATGGATCGCACCGAATGTGTATTGACTACTGGGAGTTGAACAAGCTAACGGTGAAGAATTGTTATCCAGTCCTGATAATTGGCAATTTGTTCGATCAACTTCAGGGGGAGTCTTGGTTTTCTAAGATTGAATCGGGGTATCCACCAGATGAGGGCTAGGGAGGACGATGTGCAGAAGACAGCCTTTCAGACTCATTATGGTCATTACGATTTCGTGGTGATGCCTTTTGGGCTCACCAGTGCTCCAGCCATGTTCATGGACCTCATGAACCGTGTGTGCAAACCGATGCTGTATCGATCAGTGATAGTATTTATTGATGATATCCTGGTCTATTCCAAGACCCAGGAGCAACATGATGAGCACTCGCGAGAGGTATTGGACACTATGAGGAGGGAGATGCTATATGTGAAGTTCTCCAAGCATGAGTTCTGGTTGTGTGAGGTGCAGTTTCTGGGGCACCTTGTCAACCATAATGGTATTCTGGTCGATCCGGTCAAAGTGGACGCCGTAATGAGATAGGAGGTTTCGAGGTCCGCATTCGAGAGTCGGAGTTTCCTTGGCTTAGCTGGATACTATCAGAGATTTATTCAGAATTTATCCAAAATAGCGGTACCCCTGACTCGATTAACGAAGAAGATTGCTATTTTCTGTTGGGGGACTGAGCAACAGGAAGCGTTTGAGACTTGGAGGAAGAAGTTGTGCGTAACACTGATTTTGACCCTTCCAGAGGGCGTCGAGGATTTTTTTTGATTTATTTTGATGCGTCTATTTCGGGATTAGGCGTGGTCTTGATGCAGAGAGGACACGTCATTGCGTACGACTCGAGGTAGCTGAAGCCTCACGAGTAGAACTACCCAACACACGATTTAGAGTTGCGGATAGTGGTTTTTGCCCTCAAGATTTGGTGACATTACCTCTATGGGTTCTGTTGTACTATTTACATGGATAAGCAGAGTCTGCTGTACTTGATGGATCAGCTAAATCTGAACGTGAGGCAACAACGGTGGTTGGACGATGTGAAGGACTATGACTGCGAGATTCTCTACCACCCAGTGAAGGCTAATGTAGTGGCCGATTATCTTAGCTTTAAGACAGCCGCAAACCTGATCAGGGACATTTTCTCTAAGGATGAAAGTGGTTACTTCGCTTTTGGAGCGGATTCGGGAGGCACAAGTAGAGGCTATAAAGGAAGAGAACCGGAAGAGTGGGTGCATCGTAGGTTAGGTTATCTCTTTCGACAATGATAGCCAAGGTTTATTGACCCTCCATTGGAGAGTGTGGGTCCCATATTTAGGAGGTGTGTGCCAGACGACTTGCACAAATCCAGATTTTCCCTCCATCCGGGGGCGACGAAGATGTATAGAGATCTTCGTCCTGATTATTGGTGGTCCTGCATGAAGCGGGATGTAGCCTGGTATGTGGAGATATGCTTGACTTTTAGGAATGTGAAGATAGAGCACCATAGACCTCATGGAAAGATTCAGCCGTTAGATATCATCGTGTGCAAATAGGAGGAGATTACCATGGACTTCATTACGAAGTTGCCATGGATAACGCGAATAATCAATGCGATATGGGTCATCGTCGATCAATTGACCAGGAATGCCCATTTCTTTCCAACCCAGGAGAGTATTTCTATCGAGACGTTGGCAGACACCTATATCAAGGAGGTCGTGGCTCAGCATGAAGTGTCGGTTTCTATGATTTCCGATAGAGGCATTAGATTCACTTCCAAATTCAGGAAGAAATTTCATGACAAGATGGGTACTCATCTTCATTTTGGCACGACCTTCCACCCACAGACGGATGATTAGAGTGAGTTGAGCATCCAAACATTGGAGGATATGTTGTGGGCATGCGTACTGGATTTTGATGGTAGTTGGGATACATATCTCACTGGCAGAGTTTTCATATAACAATAGCTACCATGCCAACATCGAACGACTTCCCTTTGAGATATTGTATGGGAGGAAATTTAGGGCCCCGATATGCTAAGGTGAGGCCGTTCAACAAGTTATTGGGAGAACCGAGGTGGTGCTCAAGACGACCGAGTTGATACAGCAGGTCCGAAGTAGACTCCAGATGGCTCAGAGTCAGCAGAAGAGCTACACCAACAAACGCCGATTGGATTTAGAGTTCTAGGTCGGGGATATGGTCCACTTAAAGGTGTCACCTTAGAAAGGTGTCATTGGCTTAAGGAAGTGGGGAAAGCTAGCCCCAAGTATATCGGACCTTTCCGGATCATAGCCACGGTGGGAAGGGTAGCGTACCGACTAGATCTTACGGAGGAGATTAGAATGATCCACAATACTCTCTTGTCTCGTAACTGCATAAATGTTTAGTCGATGATTCTGCTGTGGCTCCTTTGGAGGACATTCAGGTGGATGACCGCTTGAACTACATTGAGATACCAGTATCGATTATCGACAGGAAGACAAAGGATTTGAGGAAAAAAGGGTCGATCTGCTGAAGGTGCAGTGGTAGCACTGTAAGGGCTCGGAATGGACATGTAAACCGGAAGACGGGATGAGGGAGCATTACCCATAGTTATTCCCAATAGAAGTCTTCGAGGAAGAACTCTAATTCAGGTGGGGGAGATTTGTAATGCCCGAGTTGCCAGGTATTGTTCTTATTTGAATCTTTCTTTCTCTCTCTCTCTCTCTCTCTCTCTATATATATATATATATATATATATATATATATATATATACATATATATATATATATATATATATATATATATATATATATATATATATATATATATATATGTTGGGTGAGGGTCGTATGTTGGGCGTACATAGTGTACGAACAATGTATGCTTGCAGGGCATGAATCGGAGGAAGTCCCTACGTACGTTGGACGTAGTATGGCCAGAAGAAAACCCTATATTTTACGGTTTGCACCCTATTTAAAGAACTTAAGTCCCTCATAGCCCTCATCCTCTCAGTCTCCATTTCCCTTAGAGTGTTAGAACCGAACCCTAAGCCGCTTGCATGCATTTAGAGCTTACATTGTGAATTCTTGGTGTTATTTGGTGGTTTTGAAGAAGAAGGAGTTTGGAGAAGAAGCAAGGACATGAAGAGGGCTTGCAGACCTAGAAGTTTGGCATCATTCTGACCTATTTGAGGTATAAATCTTAAACCATGGCCGTTGCATGCTTAGATCCAGTTTTAGGGTGGTTAATGTTATATTTTTGTCCCATAGTCTTGACTCTTTGAGTTGAAAGAGTTTCAGTCCATAAAAGTTGTCCTTTTAGGCTCTTGGGAGTGCTAAAAGCTATAAAAATCAGACCTTGATGGTTTAGCTTGAACCATAAGTGTTAGATAGCAACTAAGTGTATTTATGGACTTAAATCATGTCATAATCCCCATCCATGCATGCAAAAGCATAAAGCACTACTAGAAAAACAACCTTTTACGACATGCAATGCGTGTCGTAAAACTCTCAGACGACGCGCAAATGCGCGTCAAGGAAGGCCGTGCCACAACTAGAGACCACATGCATTTACGACGCGCATTTATGACACACATTGCTTATCATTATATCCCGTGTCAAGAAAGGCCATGTCATAAATGAAGATGACACACATTTTTGCGTATCGTAAATTTATATGTTTAAATATATATATATATATAAATATATATATATATATATATATATATATATATATTAATTTTTAAATTAAATTTGCATTTAATGTCTCATAATAGAAATAAATAATGTATACAAAAAATACAAATCATTGTATAAAATTTAATGTCATACAATTCTATTTATTACAATATATAAATTTCATTCATCTAATCTACTGTGTTTCATACAAAAAATCTACTTCATGAGGCTTCTTCCATTTCCTTTGTTAGAGGTGAATCCAGGTAGCAAATGCAAATCAACACCACTTTTTTGCTTCTGCTGCAAGCTGTAATATGGAGCGTGACCCAAGACACATGAGGCAGTGATCTGCTCGAAAATGCTAAGTTATAAAAATTAAATGCTTATTTGACATCATAAACATAAAACAATACATATTTTATTTTACAATTTCATAAAGCATATAAAACTGAAAAGGCTATAGAGATACATATAAGTAACTATAAATATACTATAAATATGATCTTACCCATGACTATGAAAAGTTATTTTATCTCTATCAATAAATATTAATATCAATACCTACAGGCTACGTCTCACATGAATGGGATAAATGGAAGGGAAGAAGTAAAATGTAGGCAGCCCCTGGCCCCTGAGCGGAGGCTTTAATCATTATTTAAAACAAAAAAATATATAGAAATCTAAAAAAAAACTCAAAATAGAAATCAATAATTAGCTCATACTCATGTGATATAGTGGTGTAAGGTACCAATGTCTAATTTCCAGCAAGGTAAATTGAAGGAAATCACAACTTACTTTACTCTTTTTAATTATAAGGGTAAAATTGTCCAAAAAGATGTGCCATTAAAAATCAAACAAATAACATAAGGGTTATACTACAAATTTTCATTTCACTGAATAATGGAATGGAGTGAAGCCAATCAACTTTTAGCATCAATAATTTGATGAGTTTTGTATGTTAGAAAGAAGTGCAAACTATAGACTACAGACAAGACAAGAAGAAATGATAACTTAAAATTTGTGATTGTAGAAGGGTTATGTGCTTGGGCTGAAGTATAAGCATGGGGTAAATATAAGCTCCCTTACTGTGAAACAAATCTTTGTTGTCCTTGATTACCATGATGTATAGGGTCATTCATGGGGAAATTGTGACTTTGGGGTCCTACACCTTTGAGATTGGTTCCCTTGTAATTGCTGACCCATATTAGGCAAATTTCTATCCATCACTGGTGAATGAAATCTTTGTTGTCCTTGATTAGAATGTTCAAAGGAGCTTCTACTAAAATTATATATATTCAACAAATTTAAAATAATAATAAAAAAATGTTAATATTCAAAAAATACATCACATACCTTATGTTCCATAACACGAGCAAGTCTATACTTCTCCTTGATATCTCCCTCATGACGCTCTCTGCTCAAATCAACCTCATGCATCACAATCTTTCAAAACACTTTGAGGTCAAAATGACTAGTCCCAAAACATAGAATTGATAAAAAAAAATTCAAATTTTTTAAGAAAAATCATACTTTTGGAATAGACAAGTACTAGTCCAAAACAGAACATTAATTCATATTTGGAATATATTATGCTTAAATCTCAGCAATAAATTAACATAGCCATACACTTGTGCTTTAAAGCAACCCTAACAGAATAACCATTTTATGTTATCAAAAAAATTAAAAAACTAAGTTACAAAAGTTCTTATGACATTCATGTTGGAAACACAATAAGTATTCACACATCTAAATGAGATGCAATTACCCAAATTTTAAAAACCTAACCAAAATTCAAATTCATTTGAAAACTTGAGTTACCTTCTATCTGAGGGTCATCAATGAATTTTATCATGCAATCAACAAAGTTGATCCCATTAAAAGGATCCCCACCAATACCCACACATGCTGATTGACCTAGCCCTATCGTAGCAGTTTGGTATACCTGTAATAAAATGAAAAAACAAATCATTCAAATAGTTGCATAGAATCCTAATGTTTTCCAAATTCAAAATAAGAAATTAATCTTAAACCAATCATAAAATAAGTTAAGAAAAAATCAAAAATATCTTACCGCTTCATAAGTTAGTGTGCCAGATCGAGATACAATACCAATACGCCCTGGTTTATGAATGTAACCAGGCATGATTCTGATCTTGCATTCTCCAGGCTTAATGATACCAGGGCAATTTGGTCCAATCAGCCGAGTTTTTAACTGCTTAAGAAGAGCAGCCTTTACACGAACCTGTATGCATAAGATTGATTACAAGGGGCAGACAGTCAATAACATTCTTACATTAACAGCACAAGTAGCCAACGAATTGATGAGAAATGCAGGTTACCATGTCATGTTGTGTAATTCCTTCTGTAATGCAAACAATCAAATCCAGTTCAGCCTCTAATGCTTCCATGATTGTTGCAGCAGCAAATGGTGGAGGCACATAAATCACAGATGCATTAGCCTTGGTTTCAGCTTTTGCATCTAATCTAAAATTATCTCAATGTCATTGCTAAGCATTACAAAGTATCGGTAGGCTTATTGTTCTAAACGTTTTCTCTAATTTGGCAAATTACTTATCAGTTAAATATTCTTATTAAATTGTGTCCAGACTAAAGAATGTCATTTTCGTAATTAACAGTATTAAATCAAACAATCATTTTACAGATCACCATTTTACGAACCTGGATGTCACTGGTCGTACCTTCCACTGTAAACCTTCTAAGATCTGAAGCTCCATAACTAGAATATCTTTCACCTCTGTTACCAGTGTTTAGTCTGTGTATTAAATCGATGATATAAAAAATAAGAAAAATATGCAGTATGTATATGTATATATAAGAGAGAGAGAGAGAGAGAGAGAGAGAGAAAGAGAGAGAGAGAGAGATGGAGAGAGAAAGAAAGAGAGACTTGTAGTTGGTAACGTATTACCTGCATCAATCTTTGTATATAGTAATTCCTTATAGAATCTTGTCTAAAGCCAGTGTTGCCACAGGTTGAAAAAGCATATCAGGTACCAGATCTGCATTGCCATGTTGGCTAAAATTTTTCTGCATTATTGACATACAAGTACAACAAAAAGTAACAACTTTCACAAATTACTAAATTGCCCTTTTGCATTTATAAACTGCAATGCACCGATGCATACCTTCTCACAATTTGAGTGATGCTTCCACAAAGATGTGTGCCAATTAAACCACATTTCAAGAGTAGTACTAGAAACGCTTTCATGTACTGTAAGAAGATTTATAAGCGTATAAAATAGGTATTTTAACTTTTAAGGGGAACTAGAAATGCTTATGAAGGGAGAAAGTTGCACTGACCATTATTGACAGAGGTCCAAGCTTCAAGAACCCATGAGATTTTTTGACATTGTATGGATACACAAACAGTGGAAGTGGATACTAGCAATATAAAATGGCAATGAATCTTACAGATTCTAGATCCTTCCCATCAAGAGTGATGATATTGGAAAGCTCTTGAACTAGCATCATATCAAGACCAAAACTATTGTTATCATTTCAAGGCAGAGTATCAAGCCAACAGTTGAAGCCAGAAGGTAGGCATAACGTGTCAAGGTTCATTGTGCAACAACTAGATAGAGCACCAAAAAGAGAAGCCTGGTCATTAGACCCAACATTCCTTTCCATCTTGTACTTTTCGTAATGGAAATTACACGAAAACACTTGCAAAATTAACAACATAAGCTTCCACTTTTTATCGTTTCAAATCTTTGTATACAGAAGAGAAAGATGGAAATTTCATGCATGATAATACCTGATACATCTCCTCCAACTGATTTAAAACATCATGGTCATCTTCATCTACTTTTCTCATGAAGATACATATATGCAAACACCTTCATATAAAAAAAATAGTTCATCATGAATGTACAAACTGCTTCCTCTAAAGCCAACTCTTCCATTAGTATAATTAAATTAACAAATGTTAGCAACTTCCTCCATTAGCACAATTGAATTAAATAATTTTAGCAAGAGGAATGCTTACCTTTTCACTTTCAACAGATACTTCATCTGAAGCCAATTCCTTCCACTCTTAGAAGGCTTCATTGGCAATCAAAATTTCGAGGGTAGATACGTCTATTTCAATGACATTTTTAATGTCAAAAGCACGAGGTTTGAATATGTTTCATTCTTTAATCTTGTGGTACGTTGTGTTGGTGGTATAATGGGGCTTTATTGGTAGCGGTGGTGTACCAAAGAGAAGACGAAGGGTGGTCGGTGTCTGGGTGGCTTTCATGCAGTAGGGCGTAGAGAGAGAGAGAGAGGGGGAAAGAGAGAGAAAGAGAGAAAGAGACTTGTAGTTGGTCGTGTATTACCTGCATCAATTCGAAATTGAGGGAATGCTGATTTCATAAGTGTAATAGCCCGGAATTTCCAGGTATTTTTATTTGTTTATTTTTGGAAATTGTGAGCGGACTCGGCGAGTTGGAGCCCAAACTCGCCGATTAGGATCGCGGAATTGGGCACAGGTTCGCGTCTGGACTTGGCGAGTCCACGCTGTGTGGTGAAACCCTAATTTCCGGGGTTTGAGACCTATTTAAAGGGCCTTATGGCCGTCATTTGTGCTCACCAACCTTTAGAGAGAAACCCTTGAGTGCTTGAACGTTTTGAGAGAGAAAGGAAGCATTTCTTGACCTTGTGTGTGTTATTTAGCAAAGAAGGAGGAGGTTCTAGACAAAAGGAAGCATAGGAGGTTGCTATACTGTGGATTTGAAGCTTAGATCATCGATCTAGAGGTATGATTTCGGCTCATCTTCTGTTTTGTGAAGTATAATGGGATTTAGGGTTTCTTATGGACATTATTGGGTTGATTTGATGCCAAATAGTTCCCTTCTTGTGTTGAGACTGAATCAAGCTGGACTCGCCGAGTTGTTCTTGAGACTCGGCGAGTTGAGTCATGGTGGCCCCACAACTCATGCCAGGTGGAACTCATCGAGTTAGGAGAATACTCGACGTGTTAAGGGAGGATTCAAGGGAAATCAGTGTATACGCTCAGACTCGCCGAGTTGCTATAGTGCAGTTGCCGAGTCCGGTCAAAGTTGACCGTTGACCGTTGACCAACGTTGACCTAAGTTGACTTCTCAAGGGTAGTCAACCTTAGTTGGAAAAGTGTTAATTAGAGATGTATTGTGCTATATGAGGGCTATAGCTCGGGAGATTGAGCACTAGTGATTTCAGGACTTACGAATTACCGAGACACGTGAGGTGAGTCTTCTCACTATACTTTACTTTGAGTTGGTAACTAGAGTTATGTGATACAGTGTTTGTATGCTATATATGTATTATGTGTTGCGCTGCATTATTCTATGTGATTTATGTTGTGCATGTTTACAGAGTTAGAACCTGAGGGTTCACAGAGTTTGGGTGCACGGACCCACAGAGTTATAGCCTCGAGTGGCTAATATGTGTTATATGTGGCATTTTGGGGAACTCACTAAGATTTGTGTTTACGGTGTTTGATGTTATTTGTTGCAGGTACTAGTGACGATCGCGGGAAGGCGCCGGCTTGATCAGTACACACGAGTGGGATTTATGATTTTGAAATCTTGGGATTTGTATTACTTAGATTGAAAAATTAAATATGGTTGTTTTCTGAATATTAATTGAATTATGTTTTATAAAAATTTGAAAAATTTGTTTTGAAATTTACGGTGTTACAATTTGGTATCAGAGCCTTGGTTTGAGGGATTCGGGTACACCTTCGGGAGAATTTGAACTCAAACTGAGGATTTGGAAAAATATTTTCAAAAGGGAATTAAATTTTCTAAGAATAAAAGATTTTTGGAGAAATTCAAAGAAGAAACGTGTGTACGATCAGTCAGCGCCCGAACGGTGATTTCCCAAAATACCCTTATATTATATGTTTTTGGAAATTGATATGATGTATTCACTTGCTAGAGTAGGCTAGGTATTCTTATTAGGACTAGAGTGCCCTGATTTGTGATGCCTTAGCCTAGGGAGATGTGAGCTGCTATGAGATGCTTGAGAGTGAATAGGTAGCAGCGAGGAGCTTATGAGAGATCTGTAAAAGAGTGATAGAGTACTTGGGAGTTGGGATCCAAAGAGGAGGATTTAGGGTGTGTACTGAGACGGTGTGGACAGTAGTATTGGGTCCGTACTACTGAAAGCACCAGGGCGGTGCACGGTCCAAGTAAGAATCTTCGGTATACCAAGGATCAAGGAGGGATGAGTTGTCGAGTATGAGTATGCTCGAGCGGATTCTAATTTATCGTATTTTGTATTTCAGAGGTTGATCATGGTGAGGACACATCATATGCCGAAGGGTGTCGGGGCTAGTGATGAGGAGATCCGACAGATCATTCATGAGGAGGTGGCTGCGGTCATCAGGGCAGAGATACCAGAGATGTTCGGGTCTATTCAGACCACGCTGATTAAGACCTTCGACGAGCATTATGCCGCCCTTTCTGAGGCTGTGGTTGCGACGGCCACTGCATCTGTTGCCGCTGCTAGGCCGCAGGGTGGTGACGCGTTGCTATTACGGGAGTTCAGCAACATGAAACCACCGGAGTTTGATGGGACCTAGGACCCGGTGGCGGCTATGAGATGGATTTCTGACATAGAGGGGTGTTTCTTCACTTGCTCATCTCCTGAGCATTTGAGAGTACGGTTCGCGCTGAACCAGCTTCGCTTGGGAGCGAAGGACTGGTGAAGTTTGTCATAACACACTTTTCGCTTGCTGAGCTTGCGGCAGTGACCTGGGAGAGGTTCATTACCATGTTCCGTGATGAGTACATTCCCCAGGTGGAGAGGGAGCGTTTGGCCCAGGAGTTTCTGACCCTCAAGCAGGGCACTGAGTCTGTTACGGTGATTACCAGGATGTTTCACGAGAGGGCGATGTTCTGCCCTGAGCATGTGTCCACTGAGCAGGCACGTATGAGTCGGTATTTGAGTATCTTGAGACAGCACATTTGGGAGTTCGTGGCGATCTCCTCATGGCGGACATTTGCTGAGCTTTAGGCAAATGCCCGGAAGAGGGAGATTGAGCTGGAGACTCAATCTAGGGAGGAGGTTGAGTCTCAGGGGAGGGATTGGCGGCCGGCTCAATTCCAGCCGATAGCCAAGCGGGCCAAGCCCGCTGATCCCAAATCCGGGAGCCAGAAGGGCCACACTTGTGGAAAGTGTGGCTAAGGTCATGATGGAGTGTGTAGAGCTGGATCTTGCTACAAATGTGGCAAGGAGGGGCATATGGCCAAGGACTGCCCCAAGGGGTTTGCAGTATGTTTTCATTGCAACCAGACCGGACACCGGAAGGTGGAGTGTCTGCAGTTGCGGGGATCAGCACAGGGAACACCTCAGGGATCTGCCCCTGCCGCCATCAGAGCTACCGGGAGTGGTCCAGTGAAGGCCGAGGCGCCGAGGGCACGTGGGAGAGCGTTTCAATTGACCGCGGAGGAGGTCCGCGCAGCGACCGTTGTCGTGGCTGGTATGTATTCTTTCGTGTATTTATTATAAAGTTGAAATATTATGCTTATATTATGTTATGCGTAGGTACTTTTCTTGTGAATTCTGTACTTGCCTTGGTATTATTTGATTCGGGTGAGAGTGGGTGCTTTGTTTCTTTGGCTTTTAGTCAGCACATCAGTGTTAGTCGCGAGACACTGAGTCGACCTCTGAGAGTTTCCATAGCTGACGAGAAGGCGATATATGCCACGGAGGTGATCCGTGGGTGCGTTCTCGAGATTTTCGGTGTTGAGTT